TTGATGCCGCATTTCCAGTTGGCGCTAACCCGATCTTTTTTTTCCCTATCAAAAAACCAAAAATCGGCACAATATGCTCAGTTGCCTAGTATATGTAAAATACACACTTATCCTACTTTAAAAGATTCTAAAACTTCCACATTGAGCTGGTGTGAAAGTCGGAAACGCATTAGGTCACACATCTTTAGTGAATGATGAAACAAATCACAACTCCTTTTACTAAATTTCTATGCTCTATACATTTATATAACGAATATTTCGAAGTTTACAGTATAGTTTGCTCAGCTAGAATTTAGAGCTCGAAATTGGAAGGATGTTTTAAGTTTAACGTAGGTGAGAAGGTGAAGCTTGCATCACGAGTAAAGTAGGGGTTATATAAGGGCGCTTATACGTGAACAACGTAGAGGTAGTGTCGATGCCATTAGAACGAGTCGACATCGAGAACCAACCAGTACTGCTACCAAGTAAAACGAAAAAGGGAAGCGCGAACAGCAACGTTGCGTGTATGTCGGACGGTTTGGAAGGACAGCAGACGAGCCGACGAGAAACCTAGCAGATAGTCAGCGTCCCTTCGACCCTGCTAACCTAGAAAGCGCATGCGGGCAGACAGCCGGCAGAGGTGCATGAAAGAATCGATGCATCAAATACGGCCCGTGGAAATCGGCCGGCCGGCCGGCCGGCCGGTTAGTGCCTTTATTCGCATATAGAACAGGGGCACGGAAAAAGAGCCAGAAGAGTTGCAGAGAAGACAGCACAGGCGAAACAGTCTTGCCTCAGATTTGGGAGGGTGAGAAGGGAGTATTGAGGGGTGCAGGGCGTGTCAAACTCACCTTTCCGCTTTTGCCACTACCCTTAGCATGGCCAGAATGCGGACGCATTTGTAGCGCGTTCTTGTCCAAGTATTCGTGAAAGAATAAAGAGAAAACAAGATCGAGGAAAGGCAAGAGAAAGCGAGAGGAACCGTGATAACATTTATTGGAAAAAAATCACTGCCAACGCGTTGACTGTGATAACGCAATAAACGTACCGCTCCATCAACCCGCTAACACTGCCACATCGCTGGAGCAGGAAGCGCCTTTCTATTTGGATTGCGCGTAGAAACCTCATTCAATACAGCAACGACAGTTTGACCCAGCTTGTCGTTCTTTGTGGGTTCGGGAAGGTGGCGGTGGTTAAACCTTACGTAGTAGCGTTGTCTACACTGTCCGCCCCGTTCATATCCGCCACTGTCATACGAAATGCCACACAGAGATGCTGATCTCATATAACTACACAGAAGCAACACATTGTGCCGCGTTACAATCCATCTCTGTCTTTTTCCTGCAACACAGACACAAACTACGTACGTCCATCGCAAACGCTAGTATACATGCACACAGAGGCTTCCACGACAGGTCCCACTGTCAGCGTTGCGCTTCGGCCATCGTCACTGTCGTATTCATCGACACTCGGCTTTCATGAAGTTGGCCCGCTAGTTACTAGTCAGAGCTCCGGAGCCCTAAGTCTTTCCTGCAACTGTAGGCAAGCAAACGCTAGTCTTCATCGGTAGCATGAGGTAAGAGAAAACGGCTAGTCGTATTTACCCAGTCAAGAAGCTAGCCCACGCAGTCACAGGAGATGACCTCGGAGACCGCAAAGCTTTGTCCTGATTTGCGAACCTTCTGCCTACAATAATAAGCAGTGCAACCGCCAGACTCGGTGCGGACTAAGCCGTACCGGGTCGGGCCCTCTTTCTCCTCCTTCCCCTCTGTCCCTATTTTCCAGGACCAGGAAACAAAAGGAGCAGGAAAAAGGCTTTGGAATAAAAGGCACTTGTAAACATCCCCGAACATCCGCCTCGGATCTGCTGTCTCGGTCGTGTCAGAAATACGGACGGGAGCGACAACTCTATCCACAGCCATGCTGTCATACCTTTCCTCACAGCTCTGTACATATCCTACGATAAACTGTTGCTATTGCCCTACGCCATGATAGAGACTCCGAAAGATCGGTGTTTGAGATGCGACGAGTGTCTGGAAGTGGTAACGGTGATGGTAAGAGGTCCTAGTACACAGACGTTGTTGACATCGGCGACATCAAGTTGCAATAATTGCATATTACATACCGTATGGCTAGCATCTTATGTAAAGACTACTTACGCAATAGAGGTGGACATATTTAGACCAGAGCTTTGATGTACTCTAGGTGTCATGCCAGGACAACGCGCGGTAAAGAGGACGAATGACACGTGGATATCTCAAGTAACGAATGGTTCGATAAATCAATTAAGCAAGTGAAACTTAACAAACAGTGCAAGTGATGGTTAGGATGGCGGCGCGTTCAGGAAGGTACAGGAAAGATATTATTTGAAAGCTTCACAGAACTTTCTTTTTTCACTTACTAGGCAGTAGCAGCAGCAGCGTGTTATGTCCAGAAAACACAACGAATAATGAGGGATATTTATGAATACAAACAATATGGCTAATAAGTAAAATCGCAATATAAGTGTCATGTCATGACCCGAATTAAATTGAAACGACGGTGATAAATATGAAGATACCCAACTGTTGTAACTAAATCAGATTAATGGCCAAAAAGCTCAGCCATCTTGGCAAACGATAGTAATGACGAAACTCTTGCATGTAGACTCTGATTTTTTCTTAGCGATTATTTCAGTTGCCTGTTAGACTCGTGAAACGTTTCGAACACCTGCCTGGTTGTTTGTTGCTCCTGACCATAACCAATATAAACGACGCATGATACTAGCCATAGAGATATGACAGTCAAACCCAAATACGATGTTATAAAAATTTCGAAATAAAAACAGAGACACAGGCATAGAAATGAAAGAAGCGAGGAGAGAGGGGAAAGGAAAAAAAGGGGAAGCTGGGTCGGAAAGCTCTCATGACATTCGAGCGCAACCTGCAAGATCATACTAGGAATGAGAGTCCAAGTGCCTGAACCACATACAGTGAGAATTACGGATGAACAGAGTTCGGATGGAATCGGGTCGATGTATAGGGACAACAGTACTGGAGAAAGTGTTGCTAAATGTGGCAACGCCGCAGGGAGAAACTGCCTTACAAAAAAATGACCTCTTCGAATTCGCGACATCGAAGCATAGCAGGCATCAGCACTGCACGACATATCCCATTTCCGGCATAAGCATTTGAGGATGTGCAGTACAGCGTTATGCGCTCAGTTCACGATTCTAACTTTCGCTAAACTTCGCTTCTGTGGCTTCCAAGGTTCGTCATCTCGCATCGTTGGTGTTTTCTCTATCTATTCTGCTTTCTTTTCGTGTTCCCCGATCCACACTGTTATTTTTACGCATGAAGAAGACTGAACTTATCCGGAGCTGTGTCGTACCCGCGTTTTTTTACCTAGCTTAGTCGTTCATTGAGGAACAATGGAACAGACAGTGGCCAGTGAGGATCATATTGTGGATGGTACATGTCGAGTAGAATACGGCCAGTTACAACTATTTGCTTATTTCGGCATGAGCTTTTTTCTTATCAAACACTAGGATCCCAAATACTGACGGCCCTGCAGTGCTCCGATCTTCCCGTCTTGTGGCTCCATTACGACGTTTTAAACAACAGCGACATCCGCTAGCTTTGCGTTATAATGGCGAGCGTGGTGGCAAAAGGAGACGCAGGCGTATCTGGCCGACTCGATAGCCGCATGATAGATGTCATCGAAACGAATAGAACCGTGTGGAGTAGCGGAAGAAGATGCCAATGATATGAATCTTCGAGCACAACAGCGCTAGCTAGCACTATGCTGTACCGCGGTTATATGTTGTTGCTGATGTTATACTTCTGCTGGATGTTTCTACCTTGTGAAATTTCTCATAGACTATGTCCGTCACCCGGTGTCGCTTGTGTCTAAGCGACTCGAAGCATCGCCTCATTGGAATAAATCTTTCGTATGGAGGCTCTTATACGGTTCATTGTGGAGTTCTTTTGTAGCTCTATCAGATGATGCCTATTCAACGCGTACCTAGAAAAAAAAACAAAGATATATCATGAATTCAGCTAAAAATAAAGGGCACTGAAAAACCCGTAGGTAAAAACTATTGAGGACGTGCAAAATAAGGAAATCTTCGTTAGACCGCGTATAGTCACAAGATCCCTGCTGCCAGCAACGGCAAACAGAACTGCGTTGGGAATATCACAGCTTTTATCATTGCGGTCGCATAACCATAGATCTTGACATAATTATCCGTCGGAGCAAATATAGAACTAATTTAATTTGAGGGGTCTGGTAGAGCACTGACCCACCTAAGGGTAAGTGTAATTTGCTTAAATCGGCACTCTGCAAGTTTCATAGAAAATAGTTTTATACCAAATACTGTATATAGAGCATTGGTATTAAGATGTGGCAATTTAGAATTACAATTATAGATACATTTGAGCGTACACATGCTCGGAAGCATAAAAACGAGTGGCAGAAACAATGATCTTAATAAAGATTAAAAAAAAAACGGGTATCTGAAGGTATCGTAACACGTCGAATCATTTACCGTTTGCGAAATGCGCTTGATTTTCATCAAAGCTATGCTAGAAACGTAATAAGCTAACTGGTTCCTAAGAGTATACTCCAACTAGGAACCCACCAACTGAACCAAACGGTAGATGCATGGTTTCGTTTCGCCGGCAGCCGCCTGTGTGTTTGTGGGTACCTGCAGCCGACTTTTTATTACTGACTACTGCTTTTTTTCTCCCGCTACTTAGTTAATTCTCATAGACTTTCCCTCATCGTTATCTCATTTTTTCCCTTCATAATCTTCGCGCGTCCTGTTGCCGTTATTTGCAACGCAGTCCATAACGAGTAAACTCGGCTGGTCAGATGAGAGCGTCAACGAACGGTAAGGCGTGGCGAGGCCTCGAGACTTAAGCTTGAAACAACTGGGTGATGATACACGAAGGGGGCAACTTTCTTTTGCGTTTCTGGAAAGCTAGCTAGGAACAACAGATCGAGATAAGAAAGGGGGCTGGATGAGAAAAGCTATCGTCAATATGTCGATCTACCAGTCGGATGCCACGACGCAGGAGCACGAACGGCACAGTTCCACTTGGCCAGCGTGGTTGCCGGCTTGCGGTTACTCGTACTGCTGCTTGCTGGTAGGAACGGAACTATGGCTCTTTGCAAAAAGACCGAGTGCGTCCGCTTGGATTCCTCAAGAGCAGGTGGGTTGAGTAATATAATGCAGTGGCTAGCTATCGAATGGGGGCGCGACCATGGCGTGAAGTTGGTACTTGGTAGGTGGGAATAACATAGTCCACCGTCCGCTAAAACGCCTATGAGGTAGCGTTGTTACTTCTCTGTTCGTTTTCTCCTATCCATCTTCCAGCTTTACAATTTCATGGTGGACGATTCAGAGCTACTGGATATACCCTTTGCCATATATACCATAGCGTACGTGTAATGCATAAAATTATATAATATATATTGACTGCCCCTTACTTTCATGCTTCGAGCGATTTGTATGGTATGCTACCGTCCAAATCAAGCGACGCATCCGCAGCTTAGGCAATAAGCCATCGATCTGTTCGTTTGGTTTTTTTGAAAATCGAGATGCTTGCTTGTGAGAACTACCAAGTCTCTATATCCATGACAAGAAAGTAGCTATTCTGTTAATGGTGGTTGTGAACAAAGGTCCTATGAGACAGAAACGGGGCGATCTGATCGCTGCGGGGTAGCCTTCTGGATGGACCAAGAAAGTTGCCATAGGGGCCTTAATGGCAGTATGGGAATCCATTTGGGGACCGTTCGAGACGACGTTACCTGAAGCAAGTAGCGTGGGGCGTGGTGACGTGTAAGTTTCAATCGGGCGAAACTATCTATAAGCCGTAGCTAGCTAACACCAATGATCAATATCTGATTGTCTAACTGACCCGCCAAAATCGACTTTTTGCCAACTAGCGCAGACTCTGATCACACGATGCGAGCAACTTCCGCTTTTGTCCCGGCCGCTGCGGTCAGCCCAAAAACAATACACGATTATAGGCCGGGAAACCTGGATCAAGATTGAAAGATGAAGAAAGAGAGGGAGGGGGTGGCAGAATCTTTTTAAGAGCTAGGGACTGGCTGTGGCACCACACTGTAAAGGGTAAAAGGGAAGCGTTTCCTGGAGCAACATTGTCAAACGCAATGACTTGAGAAAGCTGGTAAACTTAGCTAGCCCAGCGGTCTTGGCCAACGCAACGCTGAACACCTCAGCTTATACAGGTCAGTTCTGCAGCTCTTCATTTGTTTTATCATTCAAGAATTGAATGTGCTTTGTGCTCCGCCCTCGCCTCCGAGAAGGTCAGCGGTTACGCAGCTACCTATCAATGAACGCTCTTTCCAGATTCATACGTCAACGTGATTTTTGAATCAATTAAATCACTTGCGATAAACTGTCACTCAAACGTTCTTATACGCATCGAAATATAGTTTATTATGGAACGCACAAAGTATTCATCTCTCTATATATATATATATATATACTTTTTATTTAATTGAAAATGGATATGTAGCGTACAAAACGAAGATACATTAGTTTCAGAGATCTGTCAATCAAGCACTTAAAGGTCAAACTTACCTGCGTTAACATGCAGAAACGAGTTTCTCATGAGCAAGATGTTATTGTTTGGTTACCTTAGAACGAGTCACTTAGACGGGCCGTAGACGCGCTAGATTTTACAGGTTCGTATGCACTGGCACTATTAAACCTCAAAACATTTCATCTGATAGCCGAATTGGTGCACAGAGATTATGACTTTTCTCAAACGCTCTATAACGTATTTAACGACGTTGGTTCTGCTCGATCCGATGTACGTTCATAATTTTCTGGCAGGCACTGGTTAAAATGATTTTTATTAGGCTTTATCAAATTTCGAGTCTTTCCAAAGGTAATGAACATAAAACATGTGCTGTAGTTACATTTACAAGAAATACATCTGGAGCAGGTGGACTACGAGATGTTTCATAAGAGCAATTCGAAAATAGGCAAATTACTTTTTATATACAGGATATTTATACAGCTTTTAATTAATTAATGGCTCATGTATATATGTTCTAACTTTTGTAGAACTCAGTCGCATCGATCTGTAAGATTGCGATAAAAGTAGCTGTTGCTCGGCTCGTTACCAAGTCCATAGATAACGACTGTCTTAGCAACATACTCGTTTTAGGACATTGTCTATCAAGTTGAGAGGCCGCGGGACCTATGCTGCTGGCCAGACTTTGCACGAACACCGGACCTGCAGCGGCTTTCCGCGACAGAGGAAACGCAGATGGATATACGATTCCTTAACCAGGCCAATAGAATCTTGAACGCAGTAAGCGTCACTCAAGTTATTTCATACTGGTTCCTCATCCTTCAGCACGTTTGCGTAGGCTACCTAGAACGTATAACGATCCCCAAGTTGAAATAAAGCCCGGCGGCTGTGCAGCCCTTGTTAGCGGGCTTCGCAGTGTGGTCGGGTAAGTCGCGTTATTGTCCTAAGTTGGAAACTTCTTGGGGAGTTTCTTAGACGTAATATATGACATGCACGTACACAGATGTATGGGTTCATGCGGTTCTTCTATATATATACATATATATATATATTGACTTGTAGAAATAACAAAAAGGACTTAGCGCTCTTAGACTGAAATGGACATGCTTCTGTATATAGTATGATATAGATGTGTCCAAGAGCCTTTGACTTTTAGCCTTCGTCCTGTCGATTTATTTCCGTGCTGTTATGCTATAGTTAATTAATTGGTAATTAATGGTCATATATAACTTTATCGATACACGCCTAATCAAGGTGATTATAGATAATGAAAATGTATATCTAAATATGTACCTCTGATTGAGATTCACTTGATGCACAAACATCTTCTGTCATCATACCCGATACAGATTACCCTAAACGAAGAAAACCGATTCAATAACAATGAGTTATCTAGCAAAGTAATAAAGGACGACTATTCAAAACGAGTCTAAGGCGTTGCTTTCTTGTGGATTTGAGGCTAAAATGAAGCAGTATATGGCCTAACAAGGAGCTTTATTTACGTATTAAAAATCTGGCAACGTAAGCTTAATTTGCCTCTTTGTGCAATGCAAAACGTTGCTGGTCAAATATAGTGTCCGATTTCGCCCGAAGAGTACATCTACACCTTAATGAGCAAAACATCCAGCAATGACCCATCACCAGTGTCCCCTGTCTGAGACCCCTGACAACCCTAGGCACGTCTCACTGTAGTTTATAGCAAACGTCAATATATCATGCATTGACAAACCAGAGAAGGTAATAATTGGTCCTCAGGACAAGAATACGATCGGTAGCCTAACTAGCGATGCTAACGTCAATGTTCGCATTCAATCGAAGCGGCAAGCACCGATAAAACTGGACCTCTTCCACCGCCTTTATCCGTTCTGATTGAGTCTCCTTTAAACGAAGCCAGAAGGTAAGAATGAAAGAATGAGTCGAGCTGCATGGTTTCGCACTACAGACGGCAGCTTCCAAAGTATAACCCAGAGACAATGCGGCAGACTGTAGAAACGCGAGTCTCTCTGAGTAAAACTGAAGGAGATATGAACAAGTGAAATAGAAAAGAGAGCATAAACTAGCGTTGCATATCTTCACCATTTTCAATGTGGCGGTGTGTGCGAGATAGTAGCACTGCGTTAGGTAGGGAGACTTCTATGTGGTTATATGTCTATGTACATTAAATAGCTTGGTGCATACGAACAAAAAAGCAAACATAACGCAAGGAATGACACGGACTTCTGGAGGTCATCCGAAGTCATAATGCATCAGTGAACGACCCACGGTAGATGTACAGCAGAAGACATAGACTCATATGTGGTTGCCGAACCAGCGAAGGGGGCGTGGTACGACAGAGGGCGGAGAATTGAAGAAATCATGAGTTCGTGTGTATTTGCATACGTGTCTCTACATGAAGCAAAACTCAAGCCAGAGGTCCTACACTATTGCTTCATGTTTAGTTATGCAACCGACTGGTGATAGAACTTAGCTACGAAGCGGTACAGTGTGCACGATACGGAAGGGCAAACTTATCAGGGTCACGAATAACACCTCGACAGAGCACATACAAACCGAATCAGCAGAGACACATTACACAGGCATAGACAGAGAGGGAACAACAAAAGCTTCATTTATTTTTGAAGTTACTTCCTCTGATAGTCGGTCGCGGTATGTAACAGGGAACTGAAAACAGGGGGCGAAACGACTGGGTTTGCCAGTGTTGAATCAAAGTATGTCATAGGCCGCATGATATAGGGTTTTGTTAAGCACGCGGATCCCGCGGTTAAAGTCCGGCGTCGGGAAAAGAATGGGGTATGGTTACATGGGGCGCGGAAAGCCCACGAAGTACAGCAAATTCTGTAGAAACGGGACACATCGAGGAAAAGTTGACATTGAATGGTGTTCGTAATGGTGACGATACTGATGGTAGTGGCAACAGAAAACGAATGCTGTTGTAGCAGCCCGCATTCTACAGTGGTAAGAGCCGCTAGTGTTGCTGTACGTGGCCAGTAGGCATGCAGAACAGCGTGGCCACGTTGGTTGACAAGGCAAAGGCATGCCATATGATCGACGTCGGGAACGGAACCCAATCAGACTTCCCGGGCGGAGTTTAGGAGTCGTTATCGGGACGCTGGTTAGCGGGCTACACTTTGGTAGTAGGCCGGAAGGGCAAAGGCAGGAGACAAAAGAATAGGACAACGTGGATCGAGGGATCGCTCAAAATTGGCGCAGTCTAAGCCAAAGCCAAAAATCCTTGACTCAGCACCGTCTAGTGCGCCCTTTGCACGCCGGCTATTCTACCCAGTAAACCGTCTTGTATCGTCTTTCTCCTACTGTTTATACACGTATAAATGTACTTACGTACGTAAAGTACAGGACTGCTTGTCGAGCTGTCATCCCCGTCATAAACGTCAGTACTTAATCGCTGTTGCTTCCACTGGCAACAATATTTGAGTCTGTTTCGATTTTCTATCCGTTGAAGCAGCATGTCTGCAGGCCGCAAGTAGGTTCGCCTTTGCCGGCATCGAAGAAGCAGTAGAGAAGGTCCCCGAAACATGCTACTGCTTTACCATTAGGACGGACGAAGAAACGTCGGCAACGTCGACCTTTGTTATTGGCTACGCCAAGCGCGACAACAGCCGAAAAGGGGCCCGGTGACTGCTATGCGACCAGTAACGGGACGACGTGTACACGTCGATTTCTCTACAACCCAGCATAGCCTTTTTAGCAACACAATGCGTTTCGACTTCCCTTTCCAACACAACCGATGTCACTTTCACTATTGCCGGATGACTGCGGACTCCGTATCCGCCGGTGCTGCTGCCGCAGTTGCCGTCTTAGCGCCACTTTCCGTTTGACCGTGTCTGCGGGGCAACATCTCCGCGCTGCTGCTACGCGAACAAAGTGGGACCTGACTTGGTCCAGCATTTTGAGCTGTGTGTAAGAGCCCACTAATAGCTTGGCTGCCTGTCGTTCCCCAACCAGGGCGGATTTACTAGTCGTCCTACATGTGTATGTTATGCTGATGTTATGCGTGATGCCGAGCACGTACTGAGTAAAAGTACCGGTTGCTTCTGGCTGACAGTTGCCTGACTATAGTCGTTTCGCAATCGTCGCCCGCCTTACCGCCATGACCATCCAGCAGTCAGCAAGGCGGCATCTATCCGCCGCAAAAGACAGGGTTGGCATTTGTTCCCGCTCCGCCTGCCCTCGTAAAGCCCGTCTTCGTCATGCCCTTTTTGCTTCTCCTAATTCGCTTTTTTACCTTCGACGACTGAGCGACAGAGAAGCCAAAACTCAGCTTGGGTAAGTTGCGGACACAAAAGCGGTATTCGCAGAAACTGGAGTGGATGAATGTACGAGCTATGATGAACATGCAATAGAAAAAGTGCAACAAAAGCTGGGGGTAGACAAGCGCAGGTTAATGTGAGGATAAATAGAAAACTACAAGTTTTGTGGCATAGGTACCGGGAGGAAATGGAACACCTGGGAAGCAGATATGGCCTTTGATAAACCGCAAATGAGAAACGGAGAGACAAGTAGAAATATAGATAAAGAGATACAGCTATAAAATTGACGACAACAACAACGATAGATTTAGTAACCGTGTTCTGCCAGTTCATGTATGTATATATGTATATATATCTATATATTATAGTACAGAGGCAGTGAGGACAAAATGAGGATCTAACCGTTTTTTTTGGTTACGTTTTTCTGTATTTTTCCTGTTTTTCTTCTTCATCTGTTGTGTATCGTGAATGTGCATGTGTTGTGATTTTCAGAGTTTCGACTCTGCTTTTGAGCGACGTCTCTCTCCTAAGACGCCGGCCGTCATCCACAAGATGCACTCTGCCTGGGTTCCAGTGGAGACTCTCACACTTGCCGTCCGTGAGTACTGGATACCAGTCTCGTATTTTGGTCTATTTGATCACTCTCTTCGTCTTCACCCTTTATTTCGCTAGATTTCTACGCTTCTAGCTTTAAGGCATGTCGGTAATGATTGTGCACCCCTGTTAATCTATTCTGTCCAGGGCTCAAATATATCCATAGCTTGTTTCACATTTTACTTATCTTTGGCTATCTTGACCTAGAAGCTACCGAACACATCGGGTATATGGCAGACAATTCGGTAAACGTGTTCTGCTAATTCACCGATCAACTACTGAAGGATTTACTCAAATGTATATTGGAGAAAATCGAAGAAACATATTTTTAAGATATTAAGATCATTCTCTTCAAAGCGAGTTAAATCAATGAGCGTCAATGAAAACAAACGAAAGTGTAGAAAAGTTTACAAAGTTCAGCGTAAAACAACGGTGAGTTGCCTGATGTGTTCGGTAGCGTACTCCTATCGAACTGTCCAGTTGTCTAGTATTTTTTTTGCATACCCGTGATATGGCACCCGTTTTTTCTGTTTTGATAAACTGTGACCTTTCCGCTCTTTGAGCCAGGCCAAGTCCTCAATTTTTCCTTTGCAACAAAGATGTGTGACGACACACAAGCTCTTGACACACGACCCCAGCTAGCCGAAAACGAGGCAGCCGATATTTCGCATAACGTTGCTCTATTTTATGTTGCATTTGTTGAAGACACGATTAGAATGAAATACAACACAGTCTATTGCCATCCAACATTGGACGATCTCTTTGTTATAGTGATAGTTGTCGATCGCGTGAGTCATTAAACAAAATCCGTGCTTTCCTTGTCTGCTCTTAGGAGAGTGGTTAGCTACCACGGCCTGCGAGCATAACAGTAAGGATAACTAGAACAGACCTCCCCGAACCAAAGAAAGTTCCCGGGGCCCCTGATACTACTTAGAGTGACAGGGTAAACGACGAATTCGCCGACTTCTTCAGTTGTATGCAAACGAGCCGGGTGTCTATGTGTGGTCGACGAGATATACAGATGTACCAGATGTAGTGATGGTTACATCGCAAGACAACAGTTAGCTTCCACAACGATGGCGTGGTAGAATTCTGGAAAAGGATGTGTTTGGCCGGTACAATGAAGTTCTCTTGACAACGTAAGCTGGCAATGGTGCGGCGCCGGCTAAAGCAGCAGTAGCGGCTGCGGCGATACTGACAGCAGAAGCGCAGCCGGTTTTGGCAAACTATCACTTGGGCTGAGTAATTTCGTTCCCCACAGAATAAACTGCTCCATCCACTCTATCTATATCTAGCTCCATGCCACTTCTACCCCTAAATTCAGAACTGCGCCCTTTTACGGCTTTCCGTCACCCCAATCTGTTCCGTGGCCACGGCAGTAGGGCGAAACCAATGGAGGCATACAGGTGCGATGCCCCATAACGATCAGATCTATGCGTTAGTTAGCAGTATGCATGGACATAGCGAAGTTTCCCCTTTGCTCAAATCTTATTCTTTGCCATGTAATATCAAAGTCTGCAAAGCTGCCTACTCTCGAGTTTTGCTTCTCTTTTTTCTCCAAACCGCAGGACAGGAAATCGCCCCACATTGTTCCAACATTGTCCTGCTCGTCAGCGCTACACGAATTCGGTCTGCTAGAAAGGAGAATGGCACAAGAACCAACATCGTCAAGAAATAACTGCTTTGAACAGTCTGAGAATACCTGGGGATCCCGAGAACAGTGTGAAAGCATGTGTGCGTGAACGCTAGCGGTGCAGGACTAGCACAGACCAAGTAGGTACTACCCCCACAGCCATCTCTTAGCTCCCAGCTTCACAGCAAACTCAGGCCGTGGCACGCCAACCAAAACTTTGTCTCCCTCATCACCGACAACTTTTTCTTATGTCGGTTTGCCTAGGACGGCTAGGCAGCAACTGCTATCCTAAATTTGTCCCTGCTCCTCCTTCCTAGGCTCGTCGACGTACTAGCGCCGTCACCCTCGCCGCCTCCGCCACCGCTGCTATTACAATCCCTCGAACTGACAGTTCCCCTCTAGCTTCGTCTGGACGTGTTCCGTCCAAGGCACTGTCACACTACGCTGACAGCCCCATCGTTTTACGTTACTCATTATATCAAGGGCATGACGGTATTAGCCTTAGAAGTAAGCAACCAGTGATAGGGCAAGCACAGATGGTCACCATATCTACACTCAATAAATGACAGACTGCAACTCTTGCGTGCAAGACAACCGACAGTGATAGCAAGCAGACCGAAGTTTTATAGGTCTTCTTATGGTAAACCTAATGCTAGTTTTTCTAGGCATCCGACATGTTTGATTTAGAAACAGCACGTAAGTTACGGTTTTCAATAGGACCAAATTCGTCAGAATTTAAAATAACACTCTAAACTTCTACTGGAATGCGGCATTGGCTGAATAAGTCATTTATTTATGGTTTCTTAAGCTTACATACCAGACTTGGAAAGAGAAGCATGCCTACCTATAGATTATGTCCAGTTAGTCGTGATTACGAACTCTTAAGTAAGAAATAAGGAAGTGTTTTTTTATATTCTCTAATAAAAACTTCGAGAAAATGCTGAAATAGACGACAAACGAATTTTGCTATGCGCTATTGATTGTCTGCAGTTATTTTGTAGAGTAGAAAAATTTGGTATTTCCAAATAAGAAGCTGTTTTGTAATCAGCATTAACTTCCGCATATGTTCAATTCACAAGGCGGCAATGGGCTTTGGTTGAATAAACCTCGGCGTTTTAAGTGCTACTATATTTCCCGGACGGAAAAGCTGTGGTTTTCGACACGCAACATAAAACTGAGTTAATTACGGAGTTCAGCCTAAAAACGGAGCTAGGCACAGATACACAGTCTAGAAGGACGGTCCAAACAGGGCTTTTGATGCACTTTTTCGAAATCTAATAAATCAATTTATTTCTATATTTTAGCTTTCTCGTGCAGACAGGTCACGCAGTTTTTGTTTCTTTGCTTTTTAACCACAAGATTTTCGTAATTTCGTAGTAACTATTTGTGAAATAATCGGGAGACCTGGGCCCTTTAAGTTAGCCGATACGTACCAACGAGCAAATGGGTCAATGTAGGAAGTAAATCAACGTTTGAAACATAAAATAAAACATAAATGTGTCCTAAATAAATTTCCCCCCGTTGAAATATGTCAAGAAAATGTTCAAAATACACTCGTAGTAAGTCTGGTTTCCCTTTTATATCACCTTGGCTATTTTTTGCTAGTGCTAGGTTAATTCGAATGCTTGAAAGATCGATGATTTGTTTGCATGTTTAACGATGGACGCTCCAGTCATGTGAGGAGACTATTTTTGCCATTTCAGAACTTGATTCGTCAGCAGGTCTCAGGGGTCGACGTACAGCAAGCTGCGTCGATAACTAACAATATCTAGAAAAAAAAAAAAAAAAAACACACTTAAGCTATTTTTAGATTTCGTGGTTATGAGTGGAGATAAATTTATTAGTAGTAACAAAACGTTGATACGATAGACAATGAGCGAGCGAATCAAGAGGCGACACATTCGATCTAGCTTAGCTCAGACCGATGTTTGATTGATAAGTAGGCCTTAATAGAGCATTTCGGTCATACTCCTGCCCGGCGCCTGGCAGTTAGCTCTTCAAATACGAACATGACTTCCTCGTAATTCCGCATTAGGTTTGGCACACAGCAGGAACATGTCTCTGACTCCGTGCTTTTTATCACTGGATAATGTTTAACACCACCAATTAATTCGAAAAACATCGTTAGATCGTACCTTAGTTAGCTCTGAACGTGGCAGCAATAACGATCCCAATAAGCTGATAATGAATCATTACTATAGAGTACTCAATCGATTGAAATCGCTTACTGTCTGTTACTTCATATGAAAATACCTGGTTGCATAGAAGGATAATATATGATTGCAGGTCCTAAGTATACAGGTGTTGATGTTTAAAGCGGTACAAGTCCACGAGATCTCTATACGAAAGCCATAGAATTATTACGATCAGACAACTCACACAAGTCGTCTATTTTAATTTTCTCACAGAATAAATCCTAGGGTTTGCACTATCTACAATCAATTATCTATGAAAATGACGGAATATGGCCTGCACACAACATACGCATAAGAGCATTCAAATATATGCCGGGCTCGTTTTAGTGCTACCGATACGTTATAACATAGATTACATATATATATATATAGTTGCGATTTAGCTAAATAGGGTTGAAAAGTCGTAGTAAGTAAAACTTAAGCGGGTAGAGAAAGGCGGAGGCCGATTGGTTTTCGCATGTCCTCAGCCAGCCCTGTGGGGCTTCTGTAGTGAGGCGGTACCTGCCAATACTACATACGAAACGAGCACTGCCCTAGATTGAAATTTTTCCCTATCGGGTCATATCGTTGACTGCCTATTTGTTCATGTAGGTTTTCTCGCTGAGTCATCGAACCGTTATCGTTTCACTGGTACCCGTTTGGCTTTGTTTCGGGTCGAAGTCTTTGCCGATGTGGGGCACAATGGTTTGTTAGTAAACGAAATTTTACTACAGGGCGTTGCAAATTTCCGTTGTTGTGCGCCGTCGTCAACTAGCTAAAGTTCGTTTATGTGTACATGTATGGTCAAGATAACAATAACGGATGCAGGAGAATGAAAATAAGTGAGAAATATGCATTCAGGAGTAGGTTTGTTTAGTGACCAAAAGGGCGCCGGCCCGATTGCGGTCCGAAAAAGGCTCTCCTAAATAACATATCAACCCGTCTCGTCTTTACCAATGCCGATGATGCGCGACCTCCTCTTTAACCAATGGGCTATCATCTACACCAATCCTTCAACACAATCAACAATGAACCAATGCTCGTCGGTGCCCTCGGAAACAACAAACTCTTCATCGACCTCATCATCCCATCATCATCGGCTGCTTTCTGCGATTGTGGACTTCACACCTTCAACGCGGCCATCATCCTTACCGTCTCACCTCATCCGCACTTGACTCGATTTATGTATCCTCGATGTGACAAAAATGTGTTTCGTCACGCAAACTGTGTCGGCGTGCATATATGTCCCATCGCGGAGCGCAGACCCGTCAAGTGGGGAGAAGCATCAAAAACCGACTTCAGCCAGCGCTCCGCCGGACGACGAATTTACATGTAAGTACCCTGAATTTATAATGTTAATATCTAATAAGATCTAATTAAGCATTCGCGGGTCTCTTTTTGGAAATTCCGTGGCTGAGGCTCTTTTTAGTGTTCTTACTGGTAGGCGATCAAGCATTGTCAGGCTAGTGTGTAATTGAAAAAAGTCAAGCCAGCTTAACACAAATATTGCGACATTTCTTTGTTACTAAGATAGTTACTATTATATAAGCTTGCATGAAAAAAGAAAATGTTTATCATTGTAATATAACCACTTGAATTAGAACGGTACTTTTACATATGTATATAATTACCTTAGTAATTTTATGTCGGAAGCTACAATCGCCCAGCAAAAATTTGTCTTGACAAAACGATGACTTTTTTTATTATGGTGTGGCATTAGAGCTATTATTGTGTTAGCAAAAAACAACTGACCATCTCTATGGCTGGATCGATTTAAAGTCAAGTGTAGATGTTCCAGAATTGTAGGTATACTTCTATAGACGCTCTACAGCATAAAAAAAGTGTAAGTATTTTGTATTTCCCACTACTTTTTGAATGAGCTCTTTCATGATCCTATTAAATGGACATGATTAAATGATAACAAAAAAAAAAGATGGACTACCTGTGGAAACAAGGTACATCACTGCACACCTCTCTATACATGTCCGTATTTCTTCATTATTAAAAAATGTTCTTCTTTTAAGTTATTTGAAGACAGTAAATCGCAATCCGGACAAGGCAGGTTTGCTCACTTAATAAATTATTGGCAGTTACGGAACCCGTCTTTTGACGAACCTCGAGCTAATTAAAGACTTTTCCATATTACGCTCTACGCAACTGCTGTTGGATACATTAGTTTAACAGCCATTAGGGAAATACTATAAATAAACGGGACAAAAAAGGGACCATGGACTTTGTTTGTTCAAACTGTTTGATAAGCTATCGCATGTAAGGAATGGGCACTTCCACCCCATACCGACTGCTAGACAACTGCCCGTATCCTGCACAAATCTACATCCAGCTGCACAGAACGCGCAACAAGCACACAAGAAAGAAACAATAGTGGAAATTTATGTTTGCAACGCGCATATTCCTTTCACTGTTTAAACTGTCCTTCACAGTATACCAAGGCACATACAAACTACGATCTATCTGAGTGTCTGTATAATTCTACGAGGCCACATTATAAACTTATCGGGATTACCTCAATCACTGTTGCCCTAATTGTCCATTGCTGTTATCATTAATCAAAACAATAGCATGACGTAAGTACAGGAGTCTTATACAAACTGTTAATATAACATCTATAGAATCTTCAACGTTGATATTCTACTCAAAATAGCGGTAAAAACCGTCCCGTATATAAACTAACAGAACACAAACTAGCCACGGTAATGATAGCGTACAGCTAACACCTATAGAACAAAGTTCCGTCGCAAGGTTCTTTTTAAAAACATAATCAACTTTAAGGTTTATTATGTATGCTCCGTATATGAGTCCGTATATATAATCCTCCATCACATAAACAAGCACTATATATTTAATATATATTCTTCTACTTTTTTTCAGCCTTCAAAGCTTGTTATCTAAATATAAAAGGGTGTTAGAAGTGGAAGCGTCCCCTCTATGTAAACCAAAGTGAAGGTAAAATAACTGGATGCATGCTAACGCTCAATCGGCCAGCCTGTCGGATTAATCGGTGCTTCGAGAGACGGGTTCTACCAACACTACTAGCCAGGGTTGTGCTAGCCTATGTCCTAGAAGACCAAAGCTTAGAAGCAGCTGACTAAGGTGAGAGAGATCGGTACAATATATGATCATTGATTTCTTCTCATCCTACTGCCCTGCTATTTCCACGTTTTTAGAGTTGTTGCTGCTACTATTGTACTATGGCTCCAAAACGGTGGCTGCTTCAAGCACAGCTCGCAAAAATAGCGGTATAGGAGTCTCTGCTCTGAGTCTACTTTTGGGCCTTCGTCGTTAGATCAACATCGACACCCTCGTGTAATTCAAAGCGGTCGGCTTTCAACTTTTCAACCTGTCAACAGCTGACTAAAAATAGCGTTTATACGCACCCACGGACTGGTAGGTACAGCTAGTGTGTCGATCGGCTTGCTGCTGAAGTTTACCATACGGTGTTCAGAACGACGGAGGAGCCGCAGGCGTCCAGGAGAACATAGAGCGGTAGGAGACGCGGTAGCAATTTACTCATTGGGTGCAACCAACTTGCAGGTTAGGGAGAGAGTAAAAGCGTAAAAGCTTGGCGAGGATGAGCGTAAACATCGACATGACTGGTTACGTATATACATGTAAACAAATGTACGCCTTACCCTCTTATACCTAGCTTCTTGGTGTACTCACATATACATTAGTCAAAAATAACGTGGTTGAAAGAAATGCAGATTTCTCTAGTCCTTGTAAAGCAACTGGCGTACGCTGCCTGCCTGCAGGTCTCAGGTTTAGACCCCGGTAAGCTTCTTGTCCTCAACAAAATTCTTAACTGATCACACACTGTTATTGAGTGTTTATATGAAAACGGTAAGATTTTGCAGCAGATTCCTTTTTGAATGTGAACGATTGTGTCATTGACTTCTTTCAAAAAAGCTGCCAGTTATACAATTTGGATCGTGCAAGTGCAGCCTTCTCAGAAGTACCTTCGATGTTGGCTGGATAGATGGTTCTAAATTGTGACTTGCCATACTCGGTTCTGGATAATGAACCGAAAAACGTGGGTTGACGCAAAAATGAATTAGCGGAACATCGTCCGAACCTCGTGGGCGATGAATTGTCTATAACTTGCAAGGAAACGGCGTGTTAACCCGATTAACAAAATGATCATACCCTGTAATGACGACCAACAAAAACCCAGCAAGCAGGAACTGTTTCTCGTTATCTTCAGCATAGCGGCAATTCGTGGCTGTATTGATGCTGAAAGATTCTTACAACCCGTTCAGCACAAAAAAAAGACTGTGAAATCAAACTGATATCAGAGTAGTAATAGCGCATAATGTAAATTTCCACTTTGAAGTTACCTTGCTGATAGTATAGCGTCCGAGCGAAGGCGATTACTGATGTTATAATTTTCTACATACATTCAATTGAATAAGATGATGACCTCTTAGTTATAGGTGGAAATACGGTGCTTATATGATGATATAGAAATCCTTTCGTTTCGTGATAGCTTAAGCAGGTGTATTTTTCCATGGCCTTTTGATTCGAGTCTGGTATGGGATATATCGCATGGATACGTGTTAGGTATTCAAGCCGTTTACCATGATGAACACGACTGACGGTTATCAAATCAGGATGTTCAAACTGGTACGGCGTTCTCTCAGTGCCTTATCAATTTATTAGCCTGTGTCACATGGGTAGGCCATTTTAGTGCAGTAAATCTAACGAGTTAACAGCAATGCGTATAATATGCAAGATATACGCTATATATATATGTGTATGCAAAATAAGTTACTATTGAAAACGGTTAAGTTAAGGATATATTTTAATGAAAAATCTCGAAAATCCTCCGAAATATAGTTTTGCCAAGAGAAGTGAAATGTTTTTGTTCGAAACTAAGCTTCTCGGCACACTCGTGCAAAGTTAAGTTGCCGTTTTAAGAATTCCGGGCGGAAACTCACGAAAAAGAATCGTAAGTTGGAAGCACTTCTACGCAGTAACCTATATAACCAACTTATTCGACAGAAATAACTGGAAATGCTTAGTATAAGCTTTTGAATAAGCAATGAGGAACATTTAAAAATAATATCTTTGAAAAAAATATAATATAAATTTGATTACTTTAACGAAAATGAAATATTATGGTGATATCCATACATGATTACCGAAAATCATTAAGGAGTCTCTCAGAGACCCTCCACTTATCATTGATAACATTTGATTTTTCCCGTACTTCTCCTTCACTATAGAATTCCTATATGATACAATGTTATTTTGATCTATTCAGTTCGGACCGTTACTACCCCAGCGATTGAACCCCGCGATATTTCACATGCAATGAAGTTCCCCGAAACAACCTAAGATCGCTATTGTGCCCCCTACGGTTCGATGATATTGGATCTGTTCTTTCTGTGTCGTATCCATGTTGCATCCGATATTGACGTGTGAAGAATTCTAATTTTAGATTTATTTTATTCGTCTTCGGTTACCTCCTCATTGTCGCTATCATAAAAGATTCAGTAGCCCCCAGTGATGCCCGCCTTCCATGTCAGCGGCTTGCCATGCTGTATGGCAGCCTTGGCCCCGATGATGATGATACACCAGGCCATTTATAAGATTTGCTGTGACATAATCAGACGATCTGTTTTCGTTTCTAATTCGTCGCAGGATATACACACATAACTGGATCGCATTAGATATCAGGACGCATGTAAAGGACACAAACTGTTAGAAGATATAGAACACTGTCCATTTCTCTATTCGGTACTGTATTGGCATAATATTTGCTTTTCTTGTTACTGACCGGGCCGAAAATCGAGATTTGGGTCTCGGACGGTTGACTTGCTGACAAGGAAGCAAGCTAAAGCCAAACGAACGGATTGGGTCCACGTCGAAATTGTGTGCCAGGTGCAAATTACCCACAGTTTAGATTATCTGAACGGGCAAAATCAAACGATTAAAGATAATCGAGTATGATCACTTCTAGCTTGCTATGACTATATTTATATTTGATTAAGGACATCGACTTAGAATTGGAATGAGATGAAAAATACGCACACCTAATAATTACGCTAGCCAAGATAGGCCAGCAAAATGACAGTTGTTGATATTTTTAAAGGCTAGCGCTGCATTCAGCATATAAAATGAAATATGAAGTCGTTACGAAAGTGATAGGCTTTTTTTTTGAACACTTAGCTTTCTTTCTTTCCTTGTTTATTATCGTTAAAAAGTGACCCTTTCATCGTTCTATTAAGGCCCTGCTAGCGATTTGTTCGGGTCTCAGAATTTAGCTACTTTAAATTCGGACTCTGAAGACGAGTACATCAGACAGTAAAAACGAG